CTCCAACGACTCCGATACCAGGAGTCGTTCACCACTAGCGCTATAGAGTGGAGAGGAGGAGCCCAGAAGTCATTTAGCCATTGGCTGTAGAGTTGCTTTATTATTCGTTTTTTTTTAATGTCAATTAACATTCCTGGATTATTCATTACATTAATAAAGTCCAATTTAATCAACAAATACAATAGTTGGTTTAAAAAAGGTACAAGACTGTGTACATATGTGGCTGTGTTGGCAAAATAACTACATATCCCATCAAGCCATGGCTGCACGAAACATTCAGCTAACCCTACGCCAATGGAGCTCAAAACTGAACTTGGATCCGCGTTAAGTAGCAATGATTTCCTTTGCCACCGTGCGAACCAATCATGACTATTCAACAAAACAATAAAGAATTTTCAAGTTCCTTTCCAGGGAATTTCTTAGTTACATGATTGTATAACTAGCAAAGGAGTTTTGAAGTTGAGGGTGCAGTATATATGAAGTTTGACAAAGTTCAGCTAGCCAGCTAGTTTAGCCAGGGAAAACAAGCTGGGACAGGATATAGCTGGGCGCCCATGGAGGCTAATTCAGGAACAGATTGTAGTTTTTTATGCCCTGATATCAGGAGCTGGTGGTGAAAAGTTTGATTAAACAATTCAGAGACTGAAACAAAATACATCAGATTAGAAATATTTAAGGAGAGCAAATCGATGTACAGTACAATCCCCAAATCAGCTGTAGCTGTCAATAGTAAAACAAAGCTTAAAACTATGTTTTGAGTGAACCCTGAATCCAGGAAATGAATGGTGATGTCGCTTCCAGACTCCTCCTCCACACCACTCTATGCAGATGTTGCCTCCCTCCGAGGCACGTGTTGCTAGGCAACCCCCCCTGGACTTGTCCGGGCAGCCCCCTGGCTAATGCCAGTGTGAGAAACTTGCTGGCAAAGGTTTGTGCTATGAAACTAAATAAATACTGCACTCTGACCCACAAAACGTATTTGCTAGATTCATGAGTATTCTTAGACAAAGCAAGGAAAGTGAACTTCAAAACGTGATTTAGTTTTATTGAGATTTGTAGTTGTTGGTAAATAATGAATCTGCTAGCTTCTGACTTGACTTATTGATCCTTTAAATATTCCATGTTCTGTTAATGGTGGAGAGGCTATACGGACAAGACTGGTGCCCAAATGGTGACGTATGTCGCGCATCTGAGAGTCGAGTGTGGAGACGAATGGATTGGGTTTAGTCAGTCGTCCTGATATACTCTTGCTGCCCTTCCCAGCTAGTGCATGCTGGCTAGTTGGAAACAACAGCAGCTAGTGCATGCTGGCTAGTTGGAAACAACAGCAGCTAGTGCATGCTGGCTAGCTGGAAACAACAGCAGCTAGTGCATGCTGGCTAGTTGGAAACAACAGCAGCTAGTGCATGCTGGCTAGTTGGAAACAACAGCAGCTAGTGCATGCTGGCTAGCTGGAAACAACAGCAGCTAGTGCATGCTGGATAGCTGGAAACAACAGCAGCTAGTGCATGCTGGCTAGCTGGAAACAACAGCAGCTAGTGCATGCTGGCTAGTTGGAAACAACAGCAGCTAGTGCATGCTGGCTAGTTGGAAACAACAGCAGCTAGTGCATGCTGGCTAGTTGGAAACAACAGCAGCTAGTGCATGCTGGCTAGCTGGAAACAACAGCAGCTAGTGCATGCTGGCTAGTTGGAAACAACAGCAGCTAGTGCATGCTGGCTAGTTGGAAACAACAGCAGCTAGTGCATGCTGGCTAGTTGGAAACAACAGCAGCTAGTGCATGCTGGCTAGCTGGAAACAACAGCAGCTAGTGCATGCTGGCTAGTTGGAAACAACAGCAGCTAGTGCATGCTGGCTAGCTGGAAAACAACAGCAGCTAGTGCATGCTGGCTAGCTGGAAACAACAGCAGCTAGTGCATGCTGGCTAGTTGGAAACAACAGCAGCTAGTGCATGCTGGCTAGTTGGAAACAACAGCAGCTAGTGCATGCTGGCTAGCTGGAAACAACAGCAGCTAGTGCATGCTGGCTAGTTGGAAACAACAGCAGCTAGTGCATGCTGGCTAGCTGGAAACAACAGCAGCTAGTGCATGCTGGCTAGTTGGAAACAACAGCAGCTAGTGCATGCTGGATAGCTGGAAACAACAGCAGCTAGTGCATGCTGGCTAGTTGGAAACAACAGCAGCTAGTGCATGCTGGCTAGCTGGAAACAACAGCAGCTAGTGCATGCTGGCTAGTTGGAAACAACAGCAGCTAGTGCATGCTGGCTAGCTGGAAACAACAGCAGCTAGTGCATGCTGGCTAGTTGGAAACAACAGCAGCTAGTGCATGCTGGATAGCTGGAAACAACAGCAGCTAGTGCATGCTGGCTAGCTGGAAACAACAGCAGCATGGTGCTAGTTAAAACTTGGAAAAGAAAGGGATGTTTATTTCGATGGGCGAGGGAGAAATAACCTGTAGTATAATGGTCACCATCTCCAATTTGTTCCATCCCACTTGATTTGATTTAGATGAGGATAGCAGCCTACAGGAGAAATAACTTGTAATATTGGTAGATGTCACCGTGATACAGTCTACTGCTCAATGGGGAGAGTTTGAGCTGCTAGCCGACAACACAACAACACAGGGTCCTTCACTCTTCCTCTTGCCGCAGTAATGAGGGAAGTAGCTAGCTAGTGTAGCCAATATCAGGCCAGGGTGACGGCTAAAGCACATTTATTGTAGTGATTTTCACCGAAAATGTACAAATACGGCCTTTACGTTTCAAAAGTTTCAATCTCGCTGAAAGTTTCTAGCAACAAGCATAAACTAGCTAGCTGGGAAGGGCTCATCAGGACAACTGGCTGAACCTAATCTGTTTGTTTCCACTCAACTTGGCACACGATATATAAAGTTGGACACCAGGTGTGTCAGTATCGCCTCTCCCTGTTAAATGGGGCTCCCTAACATGGCTGTCGTAGAATGTTGTAGTGTCATAATGGAGAAACCTCAATGGCCCAACTCTCTAAACACATGTTGCTGGTCTAGATTAGGGCTAGCCTGCAGGGCCAATACAGCCTGACCCCAACAGATTAGTATATATATACACATTATACATAGTTAACTAGCGCATGATTATTTCGTTACGTGTAGTTACAAGGTGTGCACTCTACAGTGTATTGAGAACATGTAATGGTGATTTTAAATGCAGTGCAATAGCAGTAGCATTGAAGAGCATATTATGTTATGTTAAATACAGTTAGAGTAACGTGATCCTAGAGCTAAATTATTATTATTAGATTATTATTTTTTTATGCCAAAGCTGACAACGTGAGTGGTTTGTCTGTTCATGCAGATATAATAACAAGAATTTAAAGGTGCTACACTTAGAATTTCTCTGAATTGCCCCCCTATGTGGAAGCTAGGTGAATTTCTCCCCTATGTGGAAGCTAGATGAATTTCTCCCTTGTGTGGAAGCTAGGTGAATTTCTCCCCTGTGTGGAAGCTAGGTGAATTTCTCCCCTATGTGGAAGCTAGGTGAATTTCTCCCCTATGTGGAAGCTAGGTGAATTTCTCCCCTGTGTGGAAGCTAGACTAATTTCTCCCCTGTGTGGAAGCTAGGTGAATTTCTCCCCTATGTGGAAGCTAGGTGAATTTCTCCCCTATGTGGAAGCTAGGTGAATTTCTCCCCTATGTGGAAGCTAGGTGAATTTCTCCCCTATGTGGAAGCTAGGTGAATATCTCCCCTATGTGGAAGCTAGGTGAATTTCTCCCCTATGTGGAAGCTAGGTGAATTGCAACAGCTTTATGCTGCATTCAAAACAAATCTCCTCCTCAATTTCCCTGTTACATGCCGGAGACTCACGCCTGAGCCTTTTACTTTCGGTTTTGGTCCACCAGCTTCAAAAAGCTTTTTGTTATTGAAAATATATTTCACAGAGATTTAGATGGTACAATGATTCCCTACACTGCTTGTTTTCTCACATAAACTGAAATTGAGCGAACAGTGTTGTATTTTTGCAACCAGGAAATGACCACCTGAGCCGATTTCCACTACATAAAACAGCCACAAAGTCAAAAAACTACTTTCCCATTTTGACAACAGATTCCACTCTGGCGGTGAGAAATCAAAAAGTGAATATCACAGCCAACCACAACATTGGTGGGTAAGCAATACTGTGAAACACTTTCATTCCACTATTACTGCAGATATATTATGGACATTTTCTGAAATTACAATGCAACAAAATAAATACATGTGTAGCACCTTTAATTCTAAATTAAAGTGGTTTCAAGCCTGCCTTAGTAGCCTGTATTGCAATTCTATTTTGATTACCGTCTTTTTATTAATGATTCAGTGGTCCTTAGTTTTAAGTAATATTCATGCAGAAGTGTGTGGTTTGTGTGCTGATATAAACATTTAAATGTCTACAAATTAAAAACATAATTTAAGCCCTCCGCTACTTCATGTTCAAATAAAAGTCAACATGTAGCATGATATTTGCACCTACCTTAGCATTGCCAGAATAACAAAAACATTCCAATAAATACATTTGAATCATTTCAAATCCAGTAAATATAGTGTATAAAAAACCATCTATGGCTGTCAGCTTGCATTAGCACACAGAAGTCAGGAAAGTAAAGCCAGGAGATTCTGATGCAGCGGTTACTGAAAAATGACGACTAGTCGCTAACATTCTGACACTCCCTGTATCAATAACACTAGATAGTGTTAGGGTGCATCTCAAATGGTACCCTATTTCATATATAGTGCACTACTTTCACCAGAACCCTATGGGAATAGGGTGCCATTTGGGAGGCACATCTAGTGTTCATAGTGAGTCAATGGGGGTTTGGTCAGTGTTAAGTGTTGATGGGGGTTGGTCAGTGTTAAGTGTTGATGGTGAATTAATGGGGGTTGGTCAGTGTTAAGTGTTAATAGTGAATGAATGGGGGTTGGTCAGTGTTAAGTGTTGATGGTGAGTGAATGGGGCTTGGTCAGACTGTGGATGGTGAGAACGTCTCTATCTGGAAGAAGTGTAGTCGTAGAAGAACTGTTCGTCTGGTCTGAAGCCGAAGCCGGTGGCTGGTCGGCTCGATGTCCCCGTAGTCAGGTCAAACCCATCAGCTCCTCCACTGGAGAGAGACAAATATATAGTAACATTAGAAATATTACAACGTTATCAAATGCAAGGAGTTTCAATGTTAGTGTGTGTGTTAGTGTGTGTGTTAGTGTGTGTGTGTGCTCTGGATAAGAGCGTCTGCTAAATGACAGAAAAAAATAAAAGAATGATGGAGCCCACTGTGTTCTTTGGGACCTTCAATGCTGCAGACATTTCTTTGTACCCTTCCTACGTCCTCATGGCTTGGTTTTTGCTCTGACATGCACTGTCAACTCTGGGACCTTATATAGACAGGTGTGTGCCTTTCCAAATCATGTCCAATCAATTGATTTTACACCAGATGGACTCCAATCAAGTTGTAGAAACATCTCAAGGATGATCAATGGTAACAGGATGCACCTGAGCTCAATTTCGAGTCTCATAGCAAAGGGTCTGAATATTTATGTAAATGTGTTATTTCCGGGGTTTTTCATTATACATTTGCTAAAATTTATAAAAAACGATTTTTGCTTGGTCATTATGGGGTATTGTGTGTAGATTGATGAGGGGGAAAAAACTATTACATCCGTTTTAGAATAAGGCTGTAACGTAACAAAATGTGGAAAAAGTCAAGGGGTTTGAATACTTTCCGAATGCACTATATACTATTTAGGTTTTCTACTGCCAAATGTACACCTTCACTATTACAGTGAAACGTTTTGTCCAGGAAGTTATCTACAAGGGATTGAATTTGTTGTTACCAATTTTTTTTTTTTTTTTTTTTTTGGGGGGGGGGTAGGTTTCTACACTACTTTCCTTCCATTTATAGTGTTTCTTAATATTATTCAGTTCCTTTGGCTTTGATGCCTCATGATTGAGTATTGTGCCACTAGAGATCCTGGTTCGAATCCAGGCTCTGTCGTAGCCGGCCGCGACCAGGAGACCCATGGGGTGGCGCACAATTGGCCCAGCGTCGTCCAGGGTAGGGGAGGGAATGGCCGGCAGGGGATGTAGCTCAGTTGGTAGAGCATGGCGTTTGCAACGCCAGGGTTGTGGGTTCGATAAAATAATGTATGTGCTAACTGTAAGTCGCTCTGGATAAGAGCGTCTGCTAAATGACTAAAATGTAATGTAAATGTATTGCTCTGTTCAAGTAGACTGTGATTTTGCCGTGATCTGATAGGGGTGTCAGTGGGCTGACTGTGAACACTGAGAGACTCTGTGTTGAGGTCAGTGATAAAGTAATCTACAGTACTACTGCCAAGGGATGAGCTGTAGGTGTACCTACTGTAAGAAGCCCCTTGAAGCCTACCATTGACTAGATCCAGCATGCGACAGAGCTGCTGACCATTTTTTGGGGGGATAGAGGCATTTGCATTTTCTCTCTCTCTCTCTGTCTCTCTGTCTCTCTGTCTCTCTGTCTCTGTCTCTCTGTCTCTCTGTCTCTCTGTCTCTCTCTCTGTCTCTGTGTGTGCATAAATAAAATACTCAAATAGTCTGTAGCCATTCTGTTATCAGTCTTATGGGTTGGGGATAGAAGCTGTTCAGGAGCCTGTTGGTGTCACACTTGATGCTCCGGTACTGTTTGCCGTGCGGCAGCAGAGAGAACCGTCTATGGCTTGCGTGGCTAGAGTCTTTAACAATTTTCCGGCCTGTCCTTTCACACCGCTTGACATAGAGGTCCTGGATGGCAGGGAGCTCGGATATAGAGGTCCTGGATGGCAGGGAGCTCGGATATAGAGGTCCTGGATGGCAGGGAGCTCTGATATAGAGGTCCTGGATGGCAGGGAGCTCGGATATAGAGGTCCTGGATGGCAGGGAGCTCTGATATAGAGGTCCTGGATGGCAGGGAGCTCTGATATAGAGGTCCTGGATGGCAGGGAGCTCTGATATAGAGGTCCTGGAGGCAGGGAGCTCGGATATAGAGGTCCTGGATGGCAGGGAGCTCGGATATAGAGGTCCTGGATGGCAGGGAGCTCTGATATAGAGGTCCTGGATGGCAGGGAGCTCTGGTATAGAGGTCCTGGATGGCAGGGAGCTCTGGTATAGAGGTCCTGGATGGCAGGGAGCTCGATATAGAGGTCCTGGATGGCAAGGGAGCTCGGTATAGAGGTCCTGATGGCAGGGAGCTCGATATAGAGGTCCTGGATGGCAGGGAGCTCGGATATAGAGGTCCTGGATGGCAGGGAGCTCGGATATAGAGGTCCTGGATGGCAGGGAGCTCGGATATAGAGGTCCTGGATGGCAGGGAGCTCTGGTATAGAGGTCCTGGAGGCAGGGAGCTCGGATATAGAGGTCCTGGATGGCAGGGAGCTCGGATATAGAGGTCCTGGATGGCAGGGAGCTCGGATATAGAGGTCCTGGATGGCAGGGAGCTCTGTACAGTGATGTGCCATGCGATGGAGGGCGGTGCTGTTACCATACCAGGCGGTGATCCAGCCAGTCAAGATGCTCTCAATGGTACAGCTGTAGAACCTTTTGAGGATTTGAGAGCCCATGACAAACCTTCTCAACCTCCCGGCTCCATTGCTGCCCTGTCAATGAAGATTATAATCCCTGCTCCATTGCTGCTCTGTCAATGAAGATTATAATCCCTGCTCCATTGCTGCTCTGTCAATGAAGATTATAATCCCTGCTCCATTGCTGCCCTGTCAATGAAGATAATAATCCTTGCTCCATTGCTGCTGTCAATGAAGATTATAATCCCGGCTCCATTGCTGCTCTGTCAATGAAGATTATAATCCCTGCTCCATTGCTGCCCTGTCAATGAAGATAATAATCCTTGCTCCATTGCTGCTCTGTCAATGAAGATAATAATCCTTGCTCCATTGCTGCTCTGTCAATTAAGATTATAATCCTTGCTCCATTGCTGCCATGTCAATGAAGATAATAATCCTTGCTCCATTGCTGCTCTGTCAATGAAGATTATAATCCTTGCTCCATTGCTGCCATGTCAATGAAGATAATAATCCTTGCTCCATTGCTGCCATGTCAATTAAGATAATAATCCTTGCTCCATTGCTGCCCTGTCAATGAAGATTATAATCCCTGTAACATTTTATGTTTCACTGAGTCGTGGCTGAACGAGGACATGGATAATATACAGTTTGCTGGATTATCTCATCGGCAAGACAGAACATCAACCTCCATAAAACGAGGGGAGGTGGTCTGTGTCCATTTGTCAAAAAAAGCTGGTGCACGATTTCTAATATTAAGGAAGTCTCAAGGTTTTGCTCGCCTGAGGTAGAGTATCTCATGATAAACTGTGGTCTGATGACACGGATGCTACGCTACAGGACTGTTTTGCTAGCACAGACTGGAATATGTTCCGGGATTCATCCAATGGCATTGAGGAGTACACCACCTCAGTCACTGGCTTCATCAATAAGTACATCGACGACGTCCCCACAGTGACCGTACGTACATATCCCAACCAGAATGGATTACAGGCAACATCCGCACCGAGCTAAAGGCTAGTGCTGCCACTTTCAAGGAGCGGGACACTAATCCAGGCACTTTTAAGAAATCCTGCTATGCCCTCCGACGAACCATCAAACAGGCAAAGCGTCAATACAGCACTAAGATTGAATCCTACTACACCAGCTCTGACGCTCGTCGGATGTGGCAGGGGTTGCAAACTATTACTGATTACAAAAGAAACTCAGCCGCGAGCTGTCCAGCGAGCCTACCAGATGAGCTAAATGTCTTCTATGCTTGCTTCAAGGCAAGCAACACTGAACCACGCATCAGAGCAACATCTGTTCCGGAAGACTGTGTGATCGCACTCTAACCCGTAGCCAATGTGAGTAAAGCCTTTAAACAGGTCAACATTCACACCTCCCTCTGCAACTGGATGCTGGACTTCCTGACGGGCCGCCCCCAGGTGGTAAGGGTAGGCAACAACACATCTGCCACGCTGATCCTCAACACGGGGGCCCCTCAGGGGTGCGTGCTTAGTCCCCTCCTGTACTCCCTGTTCACCCACAACCGCACAAATCCAACAGCATCATTAAGTTTGCAGACGACACAACGGTGGTAGGCCTGATCACCGACAATGATGAGACAGCCTATAGGGAGGAGGTCAGAGACCTGGCAATGTGGTGCCAGGACAACAACCTCTCCCTCAACGTGACCAAGACAAAGGAGATGATCGTGGACTACAGGAAAAGAGGGGCCAGGCACACCCCCCATTCACATCGACGGGTCTGTATTGAGCGGGTCGAGAGCTTCAAGTTCCTTGGCGTCCACATCACCAACAAACTATCATGGTCCAAACACACCAAGACAGTCGTGAAGAGGGCACGACAACGCCTATTCCCCCTAAGGAGACTGAAAAGATTTGGCATGGGTACTCAGATCCTCAAAAGGTTATTCAGCTGCAACATCAAGAGCATCCTGACCGGTTGCATCACCGCCTGGTATGGCAACTGCTCGGCATCCGACTGTAAGGCGCTACAGAGGGTAGTGCGTACGGCCCAGTACATCACTGGGGCCAAGCTTCATGCCATCCAGGATCTATATACTAGGCGGTGTCAGAGGAAGGCCCTAAAAATGGTCAAAGACTCCAGCCACCCTAGTCATAGACTGTTCTCTCTGCTACCACACAGCAAGCGGTACCGGAGCGCCAAGTCTAGGTCCAAAAGGCTCCTTAACAGCTTCTACCCCCAAGCCATAAGAATGCTAAATAGTTAATCAAATGGCTACCCGGACTATTTGCATTGACCCCCTGTCACACAGACCTACCCACTAATAGGATCATAACCTGTCACACAGACCTACCCACTAATAGGATCATAACCTGTCACACAGACCTACCCACTAATAGGATCATAACCTCTGTCACACAGACCTACCCACTAATAGGATCATAACCTCTGTCACACAGACCTACCCACTAATAGGATCATAACCTTTGTCACACAGACCTACCCACTAATAGGATCATAACCTGTCACACAGACCTACCCACTAATAGGATCATAACCTGTCACAAAGACCTACCCACTAATAGGATCATAACCTCTGTCACACAGACCTACCCACTAATAGGATCATAACCTCTGTCACACAGACCTACCCACTAATAGGATCATAACCTCTGTCACGCAGACCTACCCACTAATAGGATCATAACCTCTGTGACTTAGAGAGCTAGTCAGTCTAATTAATTAATTATCTTTGTAGTGACTGGGTGTATTGATACACCATCCAAAGTGTAATTAATAACTTCACCATGCTCAAACGGATATTCAATGTCTGCTTTTTTATTTTTACCCATCTACCAATAGGAGCCCTTCTTTGTGAGGCATTGGAAAACCTCCCTGGTCTTTGTGGTTGAATCTGTGCTTGAAATTCACTGCTCGACTGAGGGACATTACAGATAATTGTATGTGTGAGGTACAGAGATGAGGTAGTCATTCAAAAATCATGTTAAACACTATTATTGCACACAGAGTGATTTCATGCAACTTATGTGACTTGTTAAACAAATGTTTACTGCTGAATTTCTTTAGACTTGCCATAACAAAGGGGTTGAATACTAATTGACTCAAGACATTTAAGCTTTTCATTTTTAATTAATTTGTAAAAAATTCTAAAACATAATTCCACTTTGACATTATGTGGTATTGTGTGTAGCCAAGGGGTGTGCCTACACCCCCCCCCCCCCCCCCCCCCCTCCACCCCCCACGGCCTACACCCCTACCCCCACAACTCCCTACCCTCCAAGGTGTTAGACCCTATCCTCCAAGGTGTTAGACCCTATCCTCCAAGGTGTTAGACCCTATCCTCCAAGGTGTTAGATACTAACAGGTATACTGGAAGAGTACTGTATGGATGACATGTAAAGGTGAGTGTGTATGGGTGAGAGGAATCAATAGTGTCTGGGAGAGTTAAAGGTTGTCTCACTGTCATACCCATGTTGTCCGTCTCCATTCTGTGCATAGGGATCACTGAAGAAGTCTGGACTGACTGCTCCTGACGCAGGGGTGATCCCATCTGGACACAGAGAGAGAGAGAGAGAGAGAGGTCTTCCTCTAAAGGATCTCACACCATCATCTTCCTAACAGCTGCTGGTGGAACTCAAAGAGACAAACGAACAGCACAGTGGATCTAAAAATGCTATGGGTGATTCATTCAAATAGCACTGTATACACTTTACTGACCAGCACTTAAGAAGCGTGTGTGTGTGTGTGTGTGTGTGTGTGTGTGTGTGTGTGTGTGTGTGTGTGTGTGTGTGTGTGTGTGTGTGTGTGTGTGTGTGTGTGTGTGTGTGTGTGTGTGTGTGTGTGTGTGTGTGTGTGTGTGTGTGTGTGTGTGTGTGTGTGTGTGTGTGTGTGTGTGTGTGTGTGTGTGTGTGTGTGTGCGTGCGTGCGTGCGTGCGTGCGTGTGTGTGTGTACTGACCAGTGCTGTAGAAGCGTGTGTGTGTGTGTGTGTGTGTGTGTGTGTGCGTGTGCGTGCGTGTGTGCGTGCGTGTGTGCGTGTGTGTGTGTGTGTGTGTGTGTGTGTGCGTGCGTGTGTGCGTGTGTGCGTGTGTGCGTGCGTGTGTGCGTGCGTGTACTGACCAGTGCTGTAGAAGAGGTCAGGTCTGTCCATCTCTCCATCGTCTCCGTACATGAAGGGCTCTCCATCCTCCATCTGCCTACTCTCCACCATCTCTAACCACTGAGAGTTATGCCATCGGAACTTCTCTCTCTGAGTCTTCCTCCCCCACTCCTCATCATACTCCTAGAGAGAGGGAGGGAGGGGGGGAGGGAGGGAGGGAGGGGAGGGGGATAAGGTGGGAGGGAGAGAGAGGGTTGGAGGGAGGGAGGGAGGGAGGGAGGGGGAGGGGGATAAGGTGGGAGGGAGAGAGGGGGTTGGAGGGAGGGAGAGAGGGAGGGGGGAGAGGGGAGGGAGGGAGGGAGGGAGGGGGAATAAGGTGGGAGGGAGAGAGGGGGTGGTAGGGAGAGAGGGGGAGGGGGAGGGAGGGGGGGAGGGAGAGAGAGAGGGAGGGAGGGAGGGGGATAAGGTGGGAGAAACTGTTGAGCGTGAAAAACCCAGCAGCGTTGCAGTTCTTGACACTCAAACCGGTGCGCCTGGCACCTACTACCATACCCCGTTCAAAGGCACTTAAATATTCTGTCTTGCCCATTCACCCTCTGAATGGCACACATACACAATCCATGTCTCAATTGTCAAAAGGCTTAAAAATCCTTCTATAACCTGTCTCCTCCCCTTCATCTACACTGATTGAAGTGAATTTAACAAGTGACATCAATAAGGGATCATAGCTTTCACCTGGATTCACCTGGTCAGTCTATGTCATGGAAAGAGCAGGTGTTCCTAATGTTTTGTACACTCAGTGTACATCGACAGATGGCATTTCCCATTCAAGTCAAGACTGGCAGCCATTGCTTGTGTACCCATGAGTTTAACAGTTAAACAGCCAGGGCTAGAGGTTCCAAAACCCTTCTATGGATTATATGTCTATGGCCACAAGGCAACAAGCTGTTCCACAGAGGAGGAGAAGCGTTAGGAGCGGGAAAAGGGTGCTCGTACATTGATAAACACACCAGAGACAGCAGGTAGCTTAGTGGTTAAGATATATAATAATATAATATAATATAATATAATAATATAATAATATATAAATATAATATGCCATTTAGCAGACGCTTTTATCCAATGCGACTTACAGTCATGCGTGCATACATTTTTTTGTGTATGGGTGGTCCCGGGGATCGAACCCACTACCTTGGCGTTACAAGCGCCGTGCTCTACCAGCTGAGCTACAGAGGACCAGTAACCGAAAGGTCGCTGGTTCTAATCCCCGAGCCGACTAGGTGAAAAATCTGTTTTGAGCAAGGCACTTAACCCTAATTGCTCCTGTAAGTCGCTCTGGATAAGAGCGTCTGCTAAATGACTAAAAAAATAAAAAGTAACAAGATAAAGAAAGCTGAATTAGCAAGATAACTTTTCTTTCATTTTGATTTCGGCACAAATGAAAATGTGGAACTGACTCATCCATGGATTGATGTTTCAGCGTTGTCTCAATGAAGAGTTTGACGTTCGACTAGCCATGTGCGACATGCACGCGCAGTTACAAGCCTGCTAGAGTTAGTGGAGGGAGCTGAAGGTTTGAGTTGCCAAACGTCAGGCTCGAAACCTTAATGACTTGGAGAAGATCTGCAAAGAGGAGTGGGACAAAATCCCTCCTGAGATGTGTGCAAACCTGGTGGCCAACTACAAGAAACGTCTGACCTCTGTGATTGCCAACAAGGGTTTTGCCACCAAGTACTAAGTCATGTTTTGCAGAGGGGTCAAATACTTATTTCCCTCATTAAAATGCAAATCAATTGATAACATTTTTTACATGCGTTTTTCTGGATTTTGTTGTTGTTATTCTGTCTCTCACTGTTCAAATAAACCTACAATTAAAATTATAGACTGATAATTTCTTTGTCAGTGGGCAAACGTACAAAATCAGCAGGGGATCAAATACTTTTTTCCCTCACTGTATTCAGATTACAACCTCTCACTTTCAGTTATTTGAAAAGGAAATAATCTCCAAAATATCGCTATTTTTAAAACAAGCCATAGAAAGTTGGTTGCAATTTCAGTTTAATCCACCAGAAAAGACAGAACAAATAATACAACAAATATTATGGTTAAACTCAAATATACTAATTTGATTTTAAAAAACATTATTTTCCAATATAAAATAAAAAGCATAATCTTTGTAAATGATTTCATAAATAGGACTGGTGGAGTTATGTCACACATGCAGCTAACAAAAATATATGGAAATGTCTGCTCTACCCAAAATTACAACTGACTAATTGCAGCATTACCGCAAACATGGAGGAGGCAAGAAGAAGAAGAAGAAGGGGGAAAAAGTAAGGAACTTGTCTGTCGGCCACATTAAAGAGTGTGCAAAGCTGTCATCAAGGCAAAGGGTGGCTATTTGAAGAATCTCAAATATAAAATATATTTTGATTAGTTTAACACTTTTCTGGTTACTACATGATTCCATATGTGTTATTTCATAGTTTTGATGTCTTCACTATTATTCTACAATGTAGAAAATAGTAAAAATAAAGAAAAACCCTTGAATGAGTAGGTGTTCTTAAACTTTTGACCGGTAGTGTATACATATATTTACCCAAAAAATATATTGGGGATTGGAAATGATGCAGACAATTACATTGATGGAAGCTACAATCTATCTGCAATATTAAAGCTGATCCACCCCCAAACAAAAATAATAATACAATCCACCGTCGTATTACGGATGAGACCTGAAATGTGAAGCTAACTGAAGCTGGCTAGCTTTAGAAAACCCTGAGGAGATCAATGTGAAGCTAACTGAAGCTGGCTAGCTTTATAAAACCCTGAGGAGATCAATGTGAAGCTAACTGAAGCTGGCTAGCTTTATAAAACCCTGAGGAGATCAATGTGAAGCTAACTGAAGCTGGCTAGCTTTAGAAAACCCTGAGGAGATCAATGTGAAGCTAACTGAAGCTGGCTAGCTTTAGAAAACCCTGAGGAGATCAATGTGAAGCTAACTGAAGCTGGCTAGCTTTAGAAAAGCCTGAGGAGATCAATGTGAAGCTAACTGAAGCTGGCTAGCTTTATAAAAGCCTGAGTAGATGTAGCTTGCGTCGTAGGATACCCCTCCCTCAGAGAGACTGGGGTACACACAGTAATGCCCCCCCTAGTGGCAGGTGTTTCTCCCTCTGTTGTAGTCTTTAATTCAGGAATAGTACGTTACTTACAGCGATTATGTCCAGAGTGTTGTCACAGACCTTGCGTATCTCAGCATTCTTGTCGTGCATCAGATCGATAAGGTACGCCGGAGCCTCTGAGATGAGGGTTAAGGGTTAAGGGCTACAACTCTGGGAAGTCTGAGGTCGCTGGGTTCATATCTGGCTCATAGGACCAAACAGCCAAAACGTACAGTAATGATGTGGTTTTCTATAGGAGGAGGAGGAGGAGGAAGAGGAGGATGAGGAGGAGGATGAGGAAGAGGAGGAGGAAGATGAGGAGGAGGAAGAGGAGGAAGAGGAGGAGCATGGGTTTTAATAGTTAAAACTGAAAAAATATATTTCACACTCAAGTATTAGCTGGTCAAAATACAACAATTTTTGACTATGCATCAATTTGTTTTAAACGTAAGAAGCAGTGCATTGTGGGTAGGAAGGATACGTGTGTCTTTGATGATGACCTCCCTGGTAGCCTGGTGAAACACCATCTGGTAGAACACATAGACGATCTGACACACAAACTCATCATCCTCCTGCTGGGCTGTAGGGAGAAACAACCATCTTAGACAAAAAAGGGAAACAAACCCTGACCTCTAAAACCATCCAAACCCTGACCTCTAAAACCATCCAAACCCTGACCTCTAAAACCATCCAAACCCTGACCTCTAAAACCATCCAAACCCTGACCTCTAAAACCATCCAAACCCTGACCCTAAAACCACCCCCTGACCACTAAAACCATCCAAACCCTGACCTCTAAAACCATCCAAACCCTGACCTCTAAAACCATCCAAACCCTGACCTCTAAAACCATCCAAACCCTGACCTCTAAAACCATCCAAACCCTGACCTCTAAAACCATCCCACAGGTCGTTTTGTTTAACAGCCACATGCACAGTATGAAGTGTTTCTTATTTCTATGATGAGGCTGAGCTATGTTGTGAGAAGTCTGTATTGCGCCAGGCAGGGAATCGTTTCTGGATCGTCAGGCGGGGAATCGTTTCTAGATCGTCAGGCGGGGAATCGTTTCTGGATCGTCAGGCGGGGAATCGTTTCTGGATCGTCAGGCGGGGAATCGTTTCTGGATCGTCAGGATGGGAATCGTTTCTGGATCGTCAGGCTGGGAATCGTTTCTGGATCGTCAGGCGGGGAATCGTTTCTGGATCGTCAGGCGGGGAATCGTTTCTGGATCGTCAGGCGGGGAATCGTTTCTGGATCGTCAGGCGGGGAATCGTTTCTGGATCGTCAGGCAGGGAATCGTTTCTGGATCGTCTGGCAGGGAATCGTTTCTGGATCGTCAGGCAGGGAATCGGTTCTGGATCGCCAGGCGGGGCAATCGTTTCTGGATCGTCAGGCAGGGAATCGTTTCTGGATCGTCAAGCGGGGAATCGTTTCTGGATCGTCAAGCGGGGAATTGTTTCTCGATCGCCAGGCGGGGCAATCGTTTCTGGATCGTCAGGCTGGGAATCGTTTCTGGATCGTCAGGCAGGGAATCGTTTCTGGATCGTCAGGCAGGGAATCGTTTCTGGATCCAGGTCTCATCAGTTCAATAAGAAGCTCTGTCATATTGGTTCTGATCCAGGTCTCATCAGTTCAATAAGAAGCTCTGTCATATTGGTTCTGATCCAGGTCTCATCAGTTCAATAAGAAGCTGTCATATTGGTTCTGATCCAGGTCTCTGATTCCCTTGATCCCCCCTCTGGGAAAGAGAGAGACATTCCTGCAGCACTAGAGGAGTCTAGCATGATCCGTGAGGCTATAGGCCTTTTCTATTTGGCTGGCTACGCCATGTACTTACGGAAAACACTGGGTGCCATGGGGAATGTTTCAAATGAGGGCTCACACAAGCAAGAACCAGGGCTAATGAATGTGATGTGATGTGTAGTCAAAGACCATATCAACTCCTGGACACACTCGACCCTCTTCAATCGCCATTGCACTGCACACTGCCCTCACCCACCTTGACAAAAGGTATGGTCCTACCCCCCCACTCCCTCAGTGGTCATGATGTTTCCTTATGGATTATAGTCTTGAGGTGGCTTCCTTGATCACGCAGGTCGCCAGCCTACGTAAGAAACTGGGGAGAACGCAGACTGGAATGTTTACATTTTCTACACCGGTGGCTGGACGGCGTTTGTGCTTGTTGGATGCATCTCCGCCTTGTCGTTTGTTGTTATCCGACTGGCCGGTGTTGCCCGGAGCTCCCCCATCTGATAGCGCCGTCGAAGGAGCACAGCATGAGGAGAAAGGCAATCAACGATGGTCGCATGTCACGAGCCGTGGAAGCCGAAGACAGCGACCTCCCGCAAAGCAGTCTACACTCCCAACGAGAGGCCCGGAGCGGATACAAACAACGAATAGTTTCGCCTTCCTGGAGCCTGATCTTCCTGCTCCTTCGTCGCTGGGGGTGTCTGCGGCAGCAGTACCTACTACTACGATTTCGAAGTCGACGTCGGCAACCTTCCGGCTCTGCTCTGGATCGAGCGGGGCTTCTCCATCTGTCAGAGGCCGGCATCCTGTGAAGAGTGGGAGTGGGCGGATTTCCTCATCCTTCTCGCCAGCCGTGATTTTTGGCAGCTCCATGGTAAGAAATGTGACTGTTCCTGGTGCAAAAACAATGTCCTATTCCGGAGCTCGAGTAAATTACATTACTAAGCTGCTCCCGAATGTACTACGTCAGAACATGGAAATCGATTCTATCGTAGTCCATGTGGGTTTTAATGACATAATGAAGGGCAGCTCTGAACAGTTGAAACTGGATTTTAAAGAGCTGATTGAATCTCTGCTAGACACTAACAAAAAAAAACATAATATCTGGCCCTGTGCCCTCTCTGAATCGTGGCATTGAACGCTTTAGCAGGATTCTTGCTCTTCACAACTGGCTACGTGATAATTGCATCTCAATGGGTGTAACTTTTGTTGACAATTTCGTTACCTTTTGGAAACAAAACACATTTTATAAGGAGGATGGGATCCACCCAAATCATTTGGGTTCCTGGATCCTCTTACAGCATTATAAGGCTACGTTGAGACAATGACTTAGCAATGACCCAAGCCCAGCTCAGCTAATCCCTACCATTGTGACGCAGAGTTGTCAAAATGCTTCAGCAAATGTACATTACATCAGGGGCGTCAGTAGACACAATGTGGGTAAGCTGGTTTGTGGTCCTCTGTAGCTCAGCTGGTAGAGCACGGCGCTTGTAACGCCAAGGTAGTGGGTTCGATCCCCGGGACCACCCATACACAAAAATAATAATAATATGTATGCACGCATGACTGTAAGTCGCTTTGGATAAAAGCGTCTGCTAAATGGCATATTATTTATTTATTATTATGTCCCTCTAGCTGCCCTGAATGCCACCGCTGATCCTACAGCTGTTGTATGCAGTATCATGTGCCTAAGAACCAAATTTATACTGTTAGCACTGAGGCGGTGTGCCCGAGGAGGAAGGCCACTGTGTGCAGCTCACCCTGCACTAACATAAAGAACATGAGCACATCTACTGCTGCTAAGCTCTGTTCATCTCTCCCAAGTGGACATTCTCAATTTTTCCCCTAACCCATCTGTCTATCTCCTCATTTGAATTGCATGCTGTCACAGTCACTAGCCCATTTAAGCTTAATATCCTTGTCATCTATCGCCCTCCAGGTTCCCTTGGAGAGTTCATCAATGAGCTTGACGCCTTGATAAGTTCCTTTCCTGAGGATGGCTCACCCCTCACAGTTTTGGGGGATTTCAACCTCCCTACGTCTACATTTGACTCATTTCTCTCTGCCTCCTTCTTTCCACTCCTCTCCTCTTTTGACCTCACCCTCTCACCGTCCCCCCCTACTCACAAGGCAGGCAATACGCTTGACCTCATCTTTACTAGATGCTGCTCTTCTACTAATCTCACTGCAACTCCCCTCCATGTCTCCGACCACTACTTTGTATCCTTTTCTCTCTCGCTCTCCTCCAACACTACTCACTCTGCCCCTACACAGATGGTAATGCGCCGCCGCAACCTTCGCTCTCTCTCTCCCACTACTCTCTCCTCTTCCATCCTATCATCTCTTCCCTCTGCTCAATCCTTCTCCCTCCAATCTCCTGATTCTGCCTCCTCAACCCTCCTCTCCTGCCTTTCTGCATCCTTTGACTCTCTGTGTCCCCTATCCTCCCGGCCGGCTCGGTCCTCCCCTCCAGCTCCGTGGCTTGATGACTCATTGCGAGCTCACAGAACAGAGCTCCGGGCAACTGAGCAGAAATGGAAGAAAACTAGACTCCCTGCGGACCTGGCATCTTTTCTCTCCCTCCTCTCTACATTTTCTTCATCTGTTTCTGCTGCTAAGGCCACTTTCTACCACTCTAAATTCCAAGCATCTGCCTCTAACCCTAGGAAGCTCTTTGCCACATTCTCCTCCCTGCTGAATCCTCCCCTTCTCAAAAAACCAACACTCGATCCCTCTGATGTCAACAACTACAGACCAGTATCCCTTCTTTCTTTTCTTTCCAAAACTATTGAGCGTGCCGTCTTTAGCCAACTCTCTTGCTATCTCTCTCAGAATGACCTTCTTGATCCAAACCAGTCAGGTTTCAGGACTGGTCATTCAACTGAGACTGCTCTTCTCTGTGTCACGGAGGCTCTCCGCACTGCTAAAGCTAACTCTCTCTCCTCTGCTCTTGTCCTTCTAGACCTGTCTGCTGCCTTTGATACTGTGAACCATCAGATCCTCCTCTCCACCCTCTCCGAGCTGGGCATCTCCGGCGCGGCTCACTCTTGGATTGCGTCCTACCTGACCGGTCGCTCCTACCAAGTGGCGTGGCGAGAAGCTGTCTCTGCACCACGTGCTCTCACCACTGGTGTCCCCCAGGGCTCAGTTCTAGGCCCTCTCCTATTCTCGCTATACACCAAGTCACTTGGCTCTGTCATATCCTCACATGGCCTCTCCTATCATTGCTACGCTGACGATACACAACTAATCTTCTCCTTTCCCCCTTCTGATAACCAGGTGGCGAATCGCATCTCTGCATGTCTGGCAGACATATCAGTATGGATGACGGATCACCACCTCAAGCTGGACCTTGGCAAGACGGAGCTGCTCTTCCTCCCGGGGAAGGACTGCCCGTTCCATGATCTCGCCATCACGGTTGACAACTCCGTTGTGTCCTCCTCCCAGAGTGCGAAGAGCCTTGGCGTGACCCTGGACAACACCCTGTCGTTCTCCGCTAACATCAAGGCGGTGACCCGATCCTGCAGGTTCATGCTCTACAACATTCGGAGAGTACGACCCTGCCTTACACAGGAAGCGGCACAGGTCCTAATCCAGGCACTTGTCATCTCCCGTCTGGATTACTGCAACTCGCTGTTGGCTGGGTTCCCTGCCTGTGCCATTAAACCCCTACAACTCATCCAGAATGCCGCAGCCCGTCTGGTGTTCAACCTTCCCAAGTTCTCTCACGTCACCCCGCTCCTCCGCACACTCCACTGGCTTCCAGTTGAAGCTCGCATCTGTTACAAGACCATGGTGCTTGCCTATAGAGCTGTGAGGGGAACGGCACCTCCGTACCTTCAGGCTCTGATCAGTCCCTACACCCAAACGAGGGCATTGCGTTCATCCACCTCTGGCCTGCTGGCTCCCCTTCCTCTGCGGAAGCATAGTTCCCGCTCAGCCCAGTCAAAACTGTTCGCTGCTCTGGCACCCCAATGGTGGAACAAGCTCCCTCACGACGCCAGGACAGCGGAGTCACTCACCACTTTCCGGAGACATTTGAAACCCCACCTCTTTAAGGAATACCTGGGATAGGATAAAGTAATCCTTCTACCCCCCCTAAAAAAAAAAATAATAATTGTAAAGTGGTTATCCCACTGGCTATAGGGTGAATGCACCAATTTGTAAGTCGCTCTGGATAAGAGCGTCTGCTAAATGACGTAAATGTAAATGTAAATGTAAGCTTCCCAGTAAAGCAATAAAAACAAGTAAGCATCCCAGAAGAAAAGTGCTCAAAATTGCCCACGTTAACATATATAGCTTAAGAAACAAGGTCCATGAAATCATTAATTTGCTAGTAACAGATGACATTCATATTCTGACAATCTCTGAAACTCACTTAGATAATACCTTTGATGATACAGTGGTAGCAATACAAGGTTATAACATTTACAGAAAATACAGAAATGCCAATGGGGGCGGTGTTTCCGTCTATATTCAGAACCACATCCCTGTAAAGCTTAGAGAGGATCTCATGTTAAATACTGTTGAAGTAATATGGCTACAGGTTCATCTGCCTCACCTAAAGCCCATTCTGGTGGGAAGCTGCTATAGACCACCAAGCGCTAACAGTCAGTATCTGGATAACATGTGTGAAATGCTTGATAATATATGTGATATCAATAGAGAGGTATACTTTCTGGGTGATTTAAATATTGGCAGGCTTTCTTCAGGCTGCCCACTCAAGAAAAAGCTTCAGACTGTAACTAGTGCCTGCAACCTGGTTCAGGTTATCAGTCAACCTACCAGGGTAGTTACAAACAGTACAGGAATTAAATCATCAACATGTATTGATCATATCTTTACTAATGCTGCAGAAATTTGCTTTAAAGCAGTATCCATATCCATTGGATGTAGTGATCACAATATAGTAGCCATATCTAGGAAAACCAAAGCTCCAAAGTCTGGGCCTAATATTGTGTATAAGAGGTCATACAATACGTTTTGTAGTGATTCCTATGTTGTTGATGTAAAGAATATATGTTGGTCCGTGGTGTGTAATGACGAACAACCAGACACTGCACTTGACACATTTATGAATTTGCTTATTCCAGTTACTAATAAGCATGCACCCATTAAGGAAATGACTGTAAAAACTGTTAAATCCCTGTGGATTGATGAGGAATTGAAAAATGGTATGGTTGAGAGGGATGAGGCAAAAGGAATGGCAAATAAGTCTGGCTGCACAACCGATTGGCAAACGTACTGCAAACTGAGAAATCATGTGACTAAACTGAATAAAAAAAAGAAGAAGAAACTACACTATTAAACAAAGATAAATGACATAAAGAATGATAGTAAAAAGCTTTGGAGCACCTTAAATGAAAGTTTGGGAAAAAAGGCAAACTCAGCTCCATCATTCATTGAATCATTTGCTCATTCATCACAAAACCAACTGATATTGCCAACTACTTTAATAATTTTTTCATTGGCAAGATTAGCAAACTTAGGCATGACATGCCACCACCATGCTTCACCATTGGGATGCTGCCAGGTTTCCTCCAGACGTGACGCTTGGCATTCAGGCCCGAGAATCTTCTTTCTCATGGTCTGAAAGTCTTTAGGTGCCTTTTGGGAAACTCCAAGCGGGCTGTTATGTGCCTTTTACTGAGGAGTGGATTCCGTCTGGTCACTCTACCATAAAGGCCTGATTGGTGGAGTGCTGCAGAGATGGTTGTCCTTCTGGAAGTTCTCCCATCTCCACAGAGGAACTCTAGAGCTCTGTCAGAGTTTGGCTGGGTGGCCAGCTCTAGGAATAGTCTTGGTGGTTCCAAATTTCTTCCATTTAAGAATGATGGAGGCCACTGTGTTCTTGGGGACCTTCAATGCTGCAGATATTTTTTGGTACCCTTCTCTAGATCTGTGCCGCGACACAATCCTGTCTCGGAGCTCTACGGACAATTCCTTTGACCTCATGGCTTGGTTTTTGCTCTGACATGCCCTGTCAACCTTGGGAAATTATTTAGACAGGTGTGTGCCTTTCCAAATCATGTCCAATCAATTGAATTTACCACAGATGGACTCCAATCAAGTTGTAGAAACATGTCAAGGATGATCAATGGAATCAGGATGCACCTAAGCTCAATTTAGAGTCTCATAGCAAAGGGTCTGAAACGTATGTAAATAAGGTATTTCTGTTTCTTATTTTTAATACATTTGCAAAAATGTCTAAAAACCTGTTTTCACTTTGTCATTAGGGGGTATTGTGTGTAGATTGATTAGGATTTTTAAAAATTTAATCCATGTTAGAATAAGGCTGTAACAACAAAATGTGGAAAAAGTCAAGTGGTCTGAATACATTCTGAATACACTGTAACTAAGGAATTACACCAGGCGGTGTCAGAGGAAGGCCTTAAAAATGTTCAACGATTCCAGCCACCCAAGTCATAGACTGTTCTCTCTGCTACCGCACAGCAAGTTGTACCGATGCACCAAGTCTGGATCCAACGGGACCCTGAACAGCTTCTACCTCCAAGCCATCAGACTGCTAAATAGATAGTTTGTTAACCAATAGCTACCCGGACTATCTGCACTGACCCTTTATACACCCTTTTAACTCATCACATACGCTGCTGCTACTGTTGATTATTTATCCTGATGCATAGTCACTTTATCCCTACCTATATGTTCATACACTACATAACCAAAAGTATGTGGACACCTGCTCGTCCAACATCTCATTCTAAAATCATGGGCATTAATATGGAGTTGGTCCCCCCTTTGCTGCTATAACAGCCTCCACTCTTCTGGGAAGGCTTTCCACTAGTTCTATAATAGCAGGGATGATGTCTTACAATTCAGTAGTTCTATAATAGCAGGGATGATGTCTTACCATTCAGTAGTTCTATGATAGCAGGGATGATGTCTTACCATTTAGTAGTTCTATGATAGCAGGGATGATGTCTTACCATTCAGTAGTTCTATAATAGCAGGGATGATGTCTTACCATTCAGTAGTTCTATAATAGCAGGGATGATGTCTTACCATTCAGTAGTTCTATAATAGCAGGGATGATGTCTTACCATTCAGTAGTTCTATAATAGCAGGGATGATGTCTTACCATTCAGTAGTTCTATAATAGCAGGGATGATGCCAGACTTGGCCAACATGGCGGCACAGCTGTCATCCATGGACACCGTCCCAATCATGATCACCACCTCTAGTATCAGGTCATCCTCCGCGGAGCCTGATGACAACACAGAGGTCAGGTTTCTGGGGTTAGACGGTGATCTCCTGTTCTACTTGTTTCCAGAACTACGGTGAGTTACAAAATATGGAGTTGTTTCTTTAGAACAACTCCATATTCTCTCTTTCTCTCAGAAACTAAATCCACTCTTCTTCTTCAGTGATATAGTTACCTGGTTTGAGTCTCTTTCTCTCTCGCTCTCGCTCTGTCTCTCAATTCAATTAAAATCAAATCAAAAGGGCTTTACTGGGAAACGTGTCAATTCAAATCAAATCAAAAGGGCTTTACTGGGAAACGTGTCAATTCAAATCAAATCAAAAGGGCTTTACTGAGAAACGTGTCAATTCAAATCAAATCAAAAGGGCTTTACTGGGAAACGTGTCAATTCAAATCAAATCAAAAGGGCTTTACTGGGAAACGTGTGTACATCGCCAAAGCAAGTGAAATAAACAATAAACAGAAGTGAGAAAAGACACAAAACAACATCAACAAAAAACTATTAGAAATTAACAGTAACTATTACACTCAAAAAGGTTTCAAAAAGATCAAGACATTTCCAGAGTTATATTCTCAGCTATGAACAGTGTTTTAGAAATGTGCAAATAGCTGTGGGCAGTGGGCACATATTCTATCTTCTCTTGAGAGCCAGTTCTGCCTACGGCGGCCTTTCTCAATAGCAAGGCTATGCTCACTGAGTCTGTACATAATCAAGGATTTTCGTAATTTTGGGTCTGTCACAGTGGTTAGGTATTCTGCCAGTGTGTACTCTCTGTTTAGGGCCAGATAGCGGTCCAATTGTTGTTGTTGATTCTTTCCAGTTTGTTAAATAGTCTGTTTGAGAACAGAGCCCCAGAACCAGCTGGCTGAGGGGACTCTTCTCCAGGTTCATCTCTCTGTAGGTGATGGCTTTGTGATGGAATGTGTGGGCATCGCTTCCTTTTAGGTGGTTGTAGAATTCACTCACTCACTCACTCACTCACTCACTCACTCACTCACTCACCTGGTTTGAGTCTATCTTTAAGGTAAGGTACCAGGTTGTACTCCTTCAGCACCAGTTCCCAGTCCAGATCAGCGATAGTGAGGTTAGCCAGGGTCCCCAGACACTCTATCACGTATTCCTCGTTTTCATCAGGACTGATCTGGGCTGCCAAGTCTCCTACGTAGTCCTGAAGGAGACCGTTCTGTTAGTAAGTCACTCAGCAACACTTCATACATACAGTCTCCTTTCCAAATATCTCTGATCCACTGCTGCCTCATGGTGCACTGTATGCATGCTTTTATATGGCTTCATTGCTGGGAGCTTCATAATGTGTTCTTTACAGTCTTTTCAACCAATTCAGTTACAACATCTGCTTTATCAAGTCACTAACATCCAACATGAATTTAGTACTAACGATGAAGAGGTGTTTGGGTGGTCCGTCGTGTTGAGAGATGTTTCGTATCATCTTCATCAGTAAAGGATCCTTCAGCTTCAGAGCCCTCTTCATCAACATCTTCAGACCATTACCTGAGGGAAGGGAATCAAGCATTCATCATTTATTCAACAGCATGTGAAATATTTATACTATTGAATTAATTCACATGGAGGATGACAATGACGTGTCTAGGACTTATTTCCATGGTTCTTAGATCACCAGACCATCTCTGATACATCTGGTGGTCTGTACCTTCACAGATGAGCTGTATAACTGATAGTGGTCTGTACCTTCACAGATGAGCTGTATAACTGATAGTGGTCTGTATCTTCACAGATGAGCTGTATAACTGATAGTGGTCTGTACCTTCACAGATGAGCTGTATAACTGATAGTGGTCTGTACCTTCACAGATGAGCTGTATAACTGATAGTGGTCTGTACCTTCACAGATGAGCTGTATAACTGATAGTGGTCTGTACCTTCACAGATGAGCTGTATAACTGATAGTGGTCTGTACCTTCACAGATGAGCTGTATAACTGATAGTGGTCTGTACCTTCACAGATGAGCTGTATAACTGATAGTGGTCTGTACCTTCACAGATGAGCTGTATAACTGATAGTGGTCTGTACCTTCACAGATGAGCTGTATAACTGATAGTGGTCTGTACCTTCACAGATGAGCTGTATAACTGATAGTGGTCTGTACCTTCACAGATGAGCTGTATAACTGATAGTGGTCTGTACCTTTCACAGATGAGCTGTATAACTGATAGTGGTCTGTACTTTCACAGATGAGCTGTATAACTGATAGTGGTCTGTACTTTCACAGATGAGCTGTATAACTGATAGTGGTCTGTACCTTCACAGATGAGCTGTATAACTGATAGTGGTCTGTACCTTCACAGATGAGCTGTATAACTGATAGTGGTCTGTACCTTCACAGATGAGCTGTATAACTGATAGTGGTCTGTACTTTCACAGATGAGCTGTATAACTGATAGTGGTCTGTACTTTCACAGATGAGCTGTATAACTGATAGTGGTCTGTACTTTCACAGATGAGCTGTATAACTGATAGTGGACCTCCCTATCTTCACAGATGAGCTGTATAACTGATAGTGGACCTCCCTATCTTCACAGATGAGCTGTATAACTGATAGTGGTCTGTACCTTCACAGATGAGCTGTATAACTGATAGTGGACCTCCCTATCTTCACAGATGAGCTGTATAACTGATAGTGGACCTCCCTACCTTCACAGATGAGCTGAGCGTTCTTCTTGTTAGCTGCCAGGTTGATACAGAAGGAGATGAGCTCAGCATCGATCCTCTCCTCACCGTGCTCAAACAACATCTTCATCAACTGGTGAGTCAACACAGAGCACTAAGTTAGCATGTTAGCATTAGATACACTGAACAAAAATATAAACACAATATGTAAAGTGTTGGTCCCGAGTGGCGCAGTGGTCTAAGGCACTGCATCACAGTGCTAGCTGTGCCACTAGAGATCCTGGTTCGAATCCAGGCTCTGTCGTAGCCGGCCGCGACCGGGGGACCCATGGGGCGGCGCACAATTGGCCCAGGGTAGGGGAGGGAATGGCCGGCAGGGATGTAGCTCAGTTGGTAGAGCATGGTGTTTGCAACGCCAGGGTTGTGGGTTTGATTCCCACGGGGAGCCAGTATGATTTTTTAAATTTTTATAATGTATGCACTCACTAACTGTAAGTCACTCTGGATAAGAGCGTCTGCTAAATGACTAAAATGTAAATGTAAATGTTTCATGAGCTGAAATAAAAGATCCCAGAAATGTTCCATACGCACAAAAATCGTATTTCTCTCAAATTTTGTGCACAAACCTGTTTACATCCCTGTTAGTGAGCATTTCTCCTTTGCCAAGATAATCCATCCACCTGACAGGTGTGGCATATCAAGAAGCTGATTAAACAGCATTATCATTACACAGGTGCACCTTGTGCTGGGGACAATAAAAGGCCACTGTAAAATGTGTAGTTTTGTCACATAACACAATGCCACAGGAGTCTCAAGTTGAGGGAGCATGCTATTGGCATGCGACTGCAGGAATATCCACCAGAGCTGTTGCCAGAGAATTTAATGTTCATTTTTCTACCTCCAACCTTGTTTTAGAGAATTTGGCAGTACGTCCAACCGACCTCACAACCGCAGACCACGTGTATGGCGTTGTGTGGGGGAGCGGTTTGCTGATGTCAACGTTGTGAACAGAGTGCCCCATGGTGGCAGTGGGGTTATGGTATGGGTAGACATAAGCTACGGATAACGAACACAATTGCATTTTATCGATGGCAATTTGAATGCCAGAGATTCGGTGACGAGATCCTGAGGCCAATTGTCATGTCATTCATCCGCCGCCATCACCACATGTTTCAGCATGATAATGCACTGCTCCATGTCGCAAGGATCTGTACACAATTCCTGGAAGCTGAAAATGTCCCAGTTCTTCCATGGCATGTATACTCACCAGACATGTCACCCATTGAGCATGTTTGGGATGCTCTGGATCGACGTGTACGACAGCGTGTTCCAGTTCCTGCCAATTTACAGCCACTTTGCACAGCCATTGAAGAGGAGTGGAACAACATTCCACAGGCCACAATCAACAGCCTGATCAACTCTATGCGAAGGAGATGTGTCGCGCTGCATGAGGCAAATGGTGATCACACCAGATACTGTTTATTTTTAAGGTATCCGTGACCAACATATTCCCAGTCATGTGAAATACATAGATTAGGGCCTAGTGACCAGATGCATATCTGTATTCCCAGTCATGTGAAATACATAGATTAGGGCCTAATTAATGTATTACAATTGAATTATTTCCTTATATGAACTGTCACTCAGTAAAATCTTTGAAATTGTCGTATGTTGCGTTTATACTTTTGTTTAGTGTATTTATCAGTGTTATGGCTCGGGGGTAGAAGCTGTTCAGCGTCCTGCTGGTTCCAGACTTGGTGCATCGGTACCGCTTGTCGCGCGGTAGCAGAGAACAGTCTATGACGTGGGTGGCTGGAGTCTTTGACCATTTTTAGGGCCTTCCTCTGACACTGCCTGGTATAGAGGTCCTGGATGGCAGGACATGTTTTATGTACAAGATGTATATTTGACGTATATTTGTATATCCTACACCTAATATAGAATAGAAGAGGCATTTAAATTTCATAGAATTTCACTGAATTCAATTATATTTCCTTTCATTAAATTCGAATTGCAATAATATATCCTGTTTACTGCATCAATCGTAATTCAATTCTAATTGAATTGGAATTGATGAGGCATTCTCAATCCAATTCTGAATCCAATTGTGAATTGAGCACAACCCTGGTGTAGGTGCTGATCCAGGATCAGGTGTTGTACCGTTACCTGTGGGATGCAGTCTGTGTAGGCGAACATGGACTTGAACCTGTCATCAACACTGATGTGGTACAGGATACACATGGCCATCTGCTTGTGGTTCTCATCACCTGAGAGAAGGAACACATTACTACACATTAAACCAACAGCTCAAACCTGATACATTATATTCAGATAGATAGATAGATCTGGGAGAGAGAGAGAGAGAGAGAGAGAGAGAGAGAGAGAAAGAAAGAGAGAGAGAGCGAGAGAGAGAGAGCGAGAGAGAGAGAGAGAGAGAGAGAGAGAGACCCAGAAAACCTGAGCCTACGCCTTCACTATGGTCAATCAGTTAAACAATACAGAAATACACTACGGAAAAAGAAGGAACAGCACGTCAGATATCAGGCCATATTTACTTTTTTTAAATAATTTAGCAGACGCTCTTATCCAGAGCGACTTACAGGAGCAACTATGGTTAAGTGCCTTGCTCAAGGGCACATCGGCAGACTTTTCATCTAGTCGGCTCAGAGATTCGCTAGGCTTAACCGCTAGGCTATCTACCGCCCTAACAAAGAAGCCCTAACCCTAACCCAAAGAAGCAAGAGCAAAACCATACTGTTTACGCGATCATTTATAACGCTTTGAATCAGTTATTAAAGACTAAGATTACATTGGATGAACTACAGGACAAAATACAAACCCTTCAACACCAAAAAGGCCTGTGGTGTTGATGGTATCCTCAACGAAATTATTAAATATACAGACCACAAATTCAAATGGGCTATTCTTAAACTTTTCAACATTATCCTCAGTCCACCCTCTTCAACATTTATATCAATGAATTGTCGAGGGCACTAGAACAGTCTGCCACGCCCGGCTTCCCCCTAATGGTCCCCTGTAGCTCAGTTGGTAGAGCATGGCGCTTGCAACAGCAGGTTTGTGGGTTCATTTCCCACGGGGGGCCAGTATGAAAATGTATGCACTCACTAACTGTAAGTCGCTCTGGATAAGAGCGTCTGATAAATGACTAAAATGCACCCGGCCTCACCCTACTAGAATCTGAAGTCAAATGTCTACTGTTTGCTGATGATCTGGTGCTTCTGTCCCCAACCAAGGAGGGCCTACAGCAGCACCTAGATCTTCTGCACAGATTCTGTCAGACCTGGGTCCTGACAGTAAATCTCAGTAAGACAAAAATAATAGTGTTACAAAAAAGGTCCAGTTGCCAGGACAACAAATACAAATTCCATCTAGACACCGTTGCCCTAGAGCACACAAAAAACTATACATACCTCGGCCTAAACATCAGCGCCACAGGTTACTTCCACAAAGCTGTGAACGATCTGAGAGACAAGGCAAGAAGGGCCTTCTACGCCATCAAAAGGAACATAATATTTGACATCCCAATTAGGAGCTGGCTAAAAAATACTTGAATCAGTTATAGAACCCATTGCCCTTTATGGTCGTGAGGTCTGGGGTCCGCTCACCAACCAAGAATTCACAAAATGGGACAAACACCAAATTGAGACTCTGCATGCAGAATTCTGCAAAAATATACGTTGTGTACAACGTAAAACCCCAAACAATGCATGCAGAGCAGAATTAGGACTATACCCGCTAGTTATCAAAATCCAAAAAAGAGCTGTTAAATTCTACAACCACCTAAAAGGAAGTGATGCCCACACATTCCATAACTAAGCCCTCACCTACAGAGAGATGAACCTGGAGAAGAGTCCCCTCAGCCAGCTGGTTCTGGGGCTCTGTTCACAAACAGACCCCACAGAGCCCAGGACAGAAACACATTTAGACCAAACCAAATTATGAGAAAGCAAAAAGAGAACTATTTGACACACTGGAAAGAATCAACCAAAAAACAGAGCAAATTGGAATGCTATCCGGTGCTAAACAGAGAATACACAGTGGCAGAATACCCCAAATTAAGAAAATCCTGCCCACAAAATGAGGTGGAAACTGAGCTGCACTTCCTAACCTCCTGCCAAATGTATGACCACATTAGAGACACATATTTCCCACAGATCACACAGACCCACAAAGAATTTGAAAACAAATCAAACATTGATAAACTCACATATCTATTGAGTGAAATACCACAGTGTGCCATCACAGCAGCAAGATTTGTGGCCCGTTGCCACAAGAAAAGGGCAACCAGCGAAGAACAAACACCATTGTAAATACAACCCATATTTATGTTTATTTATTTTCCCTTTTGTACTTTAACTATTTGCACATCGTTACAACACTGTACATTGCCAATAATATAATTTTTGAAATGTCTTTATTCTTTTAAAACTTTTGTGAGTGTCATGTTTACTAATGTATCACATGTTCCTTTCCCTTTTGTTTATTGTCTATTCCATTTGCTTTGGCAACGTTAACATAAGTTTCCCAATAATTAATTAATTAATAATTTTGCCAATAAAGTCCTATGAACTGATTTGAGAGGACATAGTCCAGTGTGGTACGTACCCAGCAGGGAGGTGAGTTTGGGCAGCAAGCCGACCTGCACCATCTTGTTGCGGAGCCCGGTGTCAAAGGAGAGGTTGAGGAGCAGACGCAGTGTGATGTTCAGCAGGTCTTCATGTTCACACGGGACCAGACGAGACAGACGCTCTACGGTGTCTACCTCAGCCTAGCAACACAACCAACCAATCACAGCACAGGGTTAGGGTTAGCAACCAATCACAGCACAGGGTTAGGGTTAATAACTCATCACAAAACAGGGGTAGGGTTAATAACTCATCACAAAACAGGGGTAGGGTTAACAACCAATCACAGCACAGGGATAGGGTTAACAACCAATCACAGCACAGGGTTAGGGTTAACAACCAATCACAGCACAGGGTTAGGGTTAACAACCAATCACAGCACAGGGTTAGGGTTAATAACCAATCACAGCACAGGGTTAGGGTTAACAACCAATCACAGCACAGGGTTAGGGTTAATAACCAATCACAGCACAGGGTTAGGGTTAATAACCAATCACAGCACAGGGTTAGGGTTAATAACCAATCACAATACAGGGTTAGGGTTAACAACCAATCACAATACAGGGAAATGATTAGGACTCATTATGACTTTTATTATAGCGTCCAGTAAACCCACAAGCGAACATGCAGGTTACAGCAGTTTAATGTGTACACTGCCGTGTGAAATAAAGTCTGATGATGTCTCCTTCCCCATAGACTAGAACGATCATGTATAACGTATGGACACAGCAAGGTAGTTGTTTTTTCACTGGTAAAATGTCTCCTGAAGAGGATATCACATCAAGACAGCACACTGTTCCCTCTATGCTGATTTAGATACAGTATTCTGACCTGGTATCCTCCTGTATGCAATTTATTGTACTGTATTCCCTCCATATAAACTAGACCTGACTCTACTCCTGATCCACCACCATATAAACTAGACTAGATAGTGAGGCAATACTACATTAGAATAAGAGAAGGGTCTATGTTGATGTGTGTTGGCTTGACAGCCCTCCATCTCTCCATGCATACATCCCTCTCCGTCCCTCCCTCCTTCTCCCCTCTCCCTCCTCATTCCTCCCTCTCCTTATTCTTCTCTCTCTCCCTCCTCTCCCATCTCCCTCTCTTACCATATCGTTCTTGTTCTCCAGGAAGATGCTGAGTTTCTTGAGGAAGGACACCACTAGCACCAGCAGCTCCTCGTTCTCCCGGTCCAGGGTCTTCACCAGCATGTGGACAATGTTCTTGTTTCTCATCTTCAGCTCTGTCCTGGTGTCCTCAGCCAGGTTCAACAACAGGTACAGAGCAACTAGAGAACAGGAGGATCATCTCAGCCAGGTTCAACAACAGGTACAGAGCAACTAGAGAACAGGAGGATCATCTCAGCCAGGTTCAACAACAGGTACAGAGCAACTAGAGAACAGGAGGATCATCTCAGCCAGGTTCAACAACAGGGACAGAGCAACTAGAGAACAGGAGGATCATCTCAGCCAGGTTCAACAACAGGGACAGAGCAACTAGAGAACAGGAGGATCATCTCAGCCAGGTTCAACAACAGGGACAGAGCAACTAGAGAACAGGAGGATCATCTCAGCCAGGTTCAACAACAGGGACAGAGCAACTAGAGAACAGGAGGATCATCTCAGCCAGGTTCAACAACAGGGACAGAGCAACTAGAGAACAGGAGGATCATCTCAGCCAGGTTCAACAACAGGGACAGAGCAACTACAGAACAGGAGGATCATCTCAGCCAGGTTCAACAACAGGGACAGAGCAACTAGAGAACAGGAGGATCATCTCAGCCAGGTTCAACAACAGGGACAGCTACTAGAGAACAGGAGGATCATCTCAGCCAGGTTCAACAACAGGGACAGCTACTAGAGAACAGGAGGATCATCTCAGCCAGGTTCAACAACAGGGACAGCTACTAGAGAACAGGGGGATCATCTCAGCCAGGTTCAACAACAGGTACAGAGCAACTAGAGGACAGGAGGATCATCTCAGCCAGGTTCAACAACGGGACAGCTACTAGAAACGGAGATCATCTCAGCCAGGTTCAACAAAGGGACATCTATGAGAACAGGAGGATCTCTCAGCCAGGTTCAACAACAGGACACTACTAGAGAACAGGAGGATCATCTCAGCCAGGTTCAACAACAGGGAGAGTAAGAGAACAGGAGGATCATCTCAGCCAGGTTCAAAACAGGTACAGCACTAGAGAACAGGAGGATCATCTCAGCCAGGTTCAACAACAGGGACAGCTATAGAGAACAGGAGGATCTCAGCCAGGTTCAACAACAGGGACAGCTACTAGAGAACAGGAGGTACTCACGGGTCACACAGCCGGTTTCAACACAGGGACAGCTAGAGAACCGCAGGTATCCACAGCCAGTTCAAGAACAGGAGATCAACAACAGGTGATCATCAGCCAGGTTCAACAGACGGGACATCAGAAGAGGATCATTCAGCCAGGTTCAACACAGGGACACTAGAGAACGGGAGCTACTCAGCCAGGTTCACCAACAGGACAGGATAGAGAACAGAGGATCATCTCAGCCAGGTTAACAACAGGGACAGCTACTAGAGAACGGAGGATCATCCAGCCAGGTTCAACAACAGGACAGCTACAGAGAAAAGGGGGATCATCTCAGCCGGGTTCAACAACGGGACAGCACTAGAGAACAGGAGGATCATCTCAGCCAGGTTCAACAACAGGGACGCTACTAGAGAACAGGAGGATCATCTCAGCCAGGTTCAAAAAGGGACAGCTACTGAGAACAGGAGGATCATCAGCCAGGTTCAACAGACACATGGGAACAGGGGTTCTAATCATCGCTAACAGGAGGATCATCGTTCCAGTTTCAAACAGGTATCAGACTGCCAAGAACAGGAGCATCATCGCCACAGGTTACACAGGGACAGCTTCAGGAACAATTGCAGCAGGTTCAACAAGCAGGTCACTAGAGCAACTAGAACAGAGGATCTGACCGGTTCCACAGGGCCTAAAGTAACAGGAGATCATGGTAGTGGTTGTAAACAGGGCGAGCAACTAGAGATAGGGTATCTCAGCCGGTTCAAAAAGGGCATACTGAGAACAGGAGGATCACAGCCAGTGGGTCAAAGCAGGGACAGCTAAGGATAGAACGGGATCATCTCAGCCAGGTTCAACAACAGGGACAGCTACTAGAGAACAGGGAGTTCTAAATGCCCATTCAGCTACACAGGGTAGGAGGACAGAGATTCTATTTCAAATCCATTCCATCTTCCAGAGCTGTCCAGAGCTCAAGCAGACCAGTATCCTGCCTAAACAAGGTCTGCTAACAACTAGATCGCTGTGAGCAACATGGCAGAAGAAGGGTAGAAGGCCAGGTACAACTATGAATGTTACCTCTGAGCAGCTGCTCCGGTTTGACCAGAGGTCCCTGGTTCTTCTTAAAGGGTTAGAGGTTATACTGTTGGGTTAGTGGTTAGGGTTATACTGTGGGGTTAGGGGTCAGGGATATACTGTGGGGTTAGGGTTATACTGTGGGGTTAGGGTTATACTGTTGGGTTAGTGGTTAGGGATATACTGTGGGGTTAGGGGTTAGGGGTTAGGGATATACTGTGGGGTTAGGGGTTAGGGATATACTGTGGGGTTAGGGATATACTGTGGGGTTAGGGATATACTGTGGGGTTAGGGGTTAGGGGTTATACTGTGGGGTTAGGGGTTAGGGATATACTGTGGGGTCAGGGGTTAGGGATATACTGTGGGTTCAGGGGTTAGGGTTATACTGTGGGGTTAGGGGTTAGGGATATACTGTGGGGTTAGGGATATACTGTGGGGTTAGGGTTATACTGTGGGGTTAGGGGTTAGGGATATACTGTGGGGTCAGGGGTTAGGGATATACTGTGGGGTCAGGGGTTAGGGATATACTGTGGGGTTAGGGATATACTGTGGGGTCAGGGGTTAGGGATATACTGTGGGGTTAGGGATATACTGTGGGGTTAGGGATATACTGTGGGGTTAGGGATATACTGTGGGGTTAGGGATATACTGTGGGGTCAGGGGTTAGGGATATACTGTGGGGTTAGGGATATACTGTGGGGTTAGGGGTATACTGTGGGGTTAGGGGTTAGGGATATACTGTGGGGTTAGGGATATACTGTGGGGTTAGGGATATACTGTGGGGTTAGGGATATACTGTGGGGTTAGGGGTTAGGGATATACTGTGGGGTTAGGGATATACTGTGGGGTCAGGGGTTAGGGATATACTGTGGGGTTAGGGGTTAGGGATATACTGTGGGGTTAGGGATATACTGTGGGGTTAGGGGTTAGGGTTATACTGTGGGGTTAGTGGTTAGGGATATACTGTGGGGTTAGTGGTTAGGGATATACTGTGGGGTTAGGGATATACTGTGGGGTTAGGGATATACTGTGGGGTTAGGGGTTAGGGGTTATACTGTGGGGTTAGGGGTTAGGGATATACTGTGGGGTTAGGGGTTAGGGATTATACTGTGGGTTCAAGGGGTTAGGGTTATACTGTGGGGTCAGGGTTAGGGTTAGACTGTGGGGTTAGGGGTTTAGGGATATACTGTGGGGTTAGGGGTTAGGGATATACTTGTGGGGTTAGGGATATACCTGTGGGGTTAGGGGTTAGGGGTTATACTGTGGGGTTAGGGGTTAGGGATATACTGTGGGGTCAGGGGTTAGGGATATACTGTGGGGTCAGGGGTTAGGGTTATACTGTGGGGTTAGGGGTTAGGGATATACTGTGGGGTTAGGGATATACTGTGGGGTCAGGGGTTAGGGATATACTGTGGGGTTAGGGGTTAGGGATATACTGTGGGTTAGGGATATACTGTGGGGTTAGGGTATACTGTGGGGTTAGGGATATACTGTGGGGTCAGGGGTTAGGGTTATACTGTGGGGTTAGGGGTTAGGGATATACTGTGGGGTTAGGGGTTAGGGATATACTGTGGGGTTAGGGATATACTGTGGGGTTAGGGGTTAGGGTTATACTGTGGGGTTAGGGGTTAGGGTTATACTGTGGGGTCAGGGTTAGGGTTATACTGTGGGGTTAGGGTTACGGGGGTTAGGGATATACTGTGGGGTCAGGGGATATATACTGTGGGGTTAGGGGTTAGGATATACTGTGGGGTTAGTGGTTAGGGATATACTGTGGGGGTTACGGGGTTAGGGGATATACTGTGGGGTTAGGGAATACTGTGGGGTCAGGGTTAATACTGTGGGGTCAGGGGTTAGGGATATACTGTGGGGTTTAGTGGTTAGGGATATACTGTGGGGTTAGGGGTTAGGGATATACTGTGGGGTTAGGGTTAGGGTTATACTGTGGTGGGTTAGGGTTATACTGTGGGGTTAGGGTTATACTGTGGGGTTAGGGTTAGGGATATACTGTGGGGTTAGGGGTTAGGTGTATACTGTTGGGGTCAGGGGTTAGGGATATACTTGTTGGGGTTAGGGGTTAGGGATATACTGTGGGGTTGTATGGGGTTAGGGTTGGTATACTGTGGGGGTTAGGGGTGTAGGGATATACTGTGGGGTTAGGGTATACTGTGGGGTCAGGGGTTATGGGTATAGGATATCTGTGGGGTTAGGGTTAGGGATATACTGTGGGGTCAGGGGTTAGGGATATACTGTGTGGGTTAGGGTATACTGTGGGTCAGGGGTTAGGGTTATACTGTGGGGTTAGGGTTATACTGTGGGGTTAGGGGTTAGGGATATACTGTGGGGTTAGGGGTATACTGTGGGGTTAGGGGTTAGGGTTATACTGTGGGGTTGGGTTAGGGATATACTGGTGGGGTTAGGTGTATACTGTGGGGTCAGGGGTTAGGGTTTACTGGTGGGGTTAGGGGGTAGGGTTATATAACTGTGGGGTTAGGGTTAGGATATACTGTGGGGTCAGGGGTTTAGGGATATACTGTGGGGTTAGGGGTTAGGGTTTATACTGTGGGGTTAGGGGTTATACTGTGGGGTTAGGGGTTAGGGATATACTGTGGGTGGGGTCATGGGGTTAGGGTATTACTGTGGGGTCAGGGGTTAGGGATATACTGTGGGGTTAGGGGTTAGGGATATACTGTGGGGTCAGGGGTTAGGGTTATACTGTGGGGTTAGGGGTTAGGGTTATACTGTGGGGTTAGGGTTATACTGTGGGGTCAGGGGTTAGGGTTATACTGTGGGGTTAGGGGTTAGGGTTATACTGTGGGGTTAGGGTTATACTGTGGGGTTAGGGTTAGGGATTACTGTGGGGTCAGGGGTTAGGGATATACTGTGGGGTCAGGGGTTAGGGATATACTGTGGGGTTAGGGTTAGGGATATACTGTGGGTTAGGGGTTAGGGATTATACTGTGGGGTTAGGGTTAGTGGATATAACTGTGGGGTTAGGGATATACTGTGGGGTTAGGGATATACTGTGGGGTTAGGGATATACTGTGGGGTTAGGGGTTAGGGATATACTGTGGGGTTAGGGGTTAGGGATATACTGTGGGGTCAGGGGTTAGGGATATACTGTGGGGTCAGGGTTAGGGATATACTGTGGGGTTTAGGGATATACTGTGGGGTCAGGGGTTATGGGAGTATACTGTGGGGTTAGTGGGTTAGGGGTATACTGTGGGGTTAGGGGTTAGGGTAACTGTGGGGTTAGGGGTTGTATACTGTGGGGTTAGGGGTTAGGGTATACTGTGGGGTTAGGGGTTAGGGTATACTGTGGGGTTAGGGTTAGTACTGTGGGTTAGGGGTTAGGGTTAGACTGTGGGGTTAGGGGTTAGGGGTTAGGGATATACTGTGGGGTTAGGGGTTAGGGATATACTGTGGGGTTAGGGGTTAGGGGTATACTGTGGGGTTAGGGGTTAGGGTTATACTGTGGGGTTAAGGGGTTATAGGTCTGTGGGGTTAGGGGTTAGGGGTATACTGTGGGGTTAGGGGTTAGGGATATACTGTGGGGTTAGGGGTTAGGGGTATACTGTGGGGTTAGGGGTTAGGGTTATACTGTGGGGTTAGGGGTTATACTGTGGGGTTAGGGGTTAGGGGTATACTGTGGGGTCAGGGGTTAGGGGTTAGACTGGTACCTCTCAGCAGCTGCTCCTGTTTTACCAGTAGTCCCTGGTACTTCTTAAAGGCCTTCTCATGTTCCTTCCTCAAGGCCTGGTTGTCAGGGTCGTCTTCACGTAGTTACAGTCAAGGAAGGGCTCTGACTGACTGACTGATTTATTTATTATTGACAAAACAGCAACAGTAAAGGGGGTACATGGAAAAACTGACACACCCTGGGATCAGCATCCATTCATTTCCCACAGCAAACGGTTATTTATCATCACTTAGAAAACCATGCAGGGGTGTTCAATGTCAGTCCTGAAGGGCCAAAACACTGCAGGGGTGTTCAATGTCAGTCCTGAAGGGCCAAAACACTGCAGGGGTGTTCAATGTCAGTCCTGAAGGGCCAAAACACTGCACGGGTGTTCAATGTCAGTCCTGGAGGGCCAAAACACTTCTGATTTTCATCCACTCCTTCTAATCAGGGACTGATTCAGACCAGGGACACCAGGTGAGTGGAATTAATGACCAGGGGACCAACATTTAACAGCCCTGCATTAAAGGATATACGTCTCCTAACCCAGACCCTGACCCTGACCCTGACCCTGACCCCGACCCCGACGCCGACCCAGACCCCGACCCCGACCCAGACCCAGACCCCGACCCCGACCCAGACCCAGACCCCGACCCAGACCCAGACCCAGACCCTGACCCCGACCCTGACCCAGACCCAGACCCAGACCCAGACCCCGACCCCGACCCTGACCCTGACCCAGACCCCGACCCCGACCCTGACCCAGACCCCGACCCCGACCCAGACC